AATATTAAATTTAAACTCCATAAGCTCTCTTAACACTTCCAAATATAAAAATTTCAAATTTCTATATAAAATAAATGAAAAAAAAAAATTTCATAACATATTTTCTATCTGCAGGTAACTAAACAAACCAAAGCATAAATTTAAGCTGTCTGTAATTATGAAAATCAGCCGATTAGATACAAACAGGGCAGTTCAAATATCTTCCAAAACCATTAAAGCAGAAAAGTTTTGGTGATCACATTCCAAACATCATCCAACATACCAAATTTGTCATAGTATCACAGCTAACTTACCATTGCATGACCATTGTGATTGATGGTTCTCATCCTATCTTCAAACAAAACGGTATTGACTACTCTCTGGCTTTGCCGAACAATCGTGAGGCTGCTGCGTCCGATTCACAGATGGAAGGAACTCATCTTGGGTTCATTGGCACTCTTCGATGCTCAAGATCTGATTTGATTTCAGGTCTTACAAGATTGTCAAGCAATAATGTCCGATCCAAGGGTGCAGAGCGCGATGAAAGCTTCCTGTGCATGTCTGAGAATGTCTGTGATATCATAGCAAGCCCTTCGGTGTCAACAGCTCTAGCAGCATTTTCAGTTTGCTCAAAAGGATCTTCAATCTAAATAAGCAAATGATTGTAACGGTCAAATTGTAGCGGTCCAATTGTAACCTTAACGGAAAATTTGAATATTTGGGACAAAATGGGATAGGCTTATTGACAGTACATACACGAAGGACTTGTGCTTTCCGTAAAAATCTGCGATTGCTGTAAATTGGTTTCCACTCTCCTCTGTAAGTTGAGATGGCATGATTCGAGGCCATAGTACCAAGTGCAGAAAACTACGAGTGAAAAATACCATCACTGTCATCTTGTGAAAATAATAAATATAAAGCGTACAAGTAAATCATCATTTGTCAATCATAACAAAAATGATAGTAACAAGACTTTACAGTTATAGTTGTGAAATCCTCATTCAACAAATGCATTGAAAAAACAATATCAGACA